ATGTTTTCCGAATTAGTTTAGACTTTTACTGACTCGAAAAAATGGTCGACAAACTTGTCTTTAGGAAAGAAAAGTCCTTATCTTACTTTTCCTGACCGAAGAATGTGGTTAAACTTTATTTTTCCCGACTTCAATCAAAGTTTTACCAGCTCAAAAAATAGTCAGCAAAACGTTTTGTCATTCCAACCAACTTTTTGTTGGTAAGTAAAAAACTATATCATTCCTGACTAAAATGCATTTTGGTCGGTGAAAATGTTTGCCAACCAGCTTCACATTGGTAAGGAAAAAACTCCATCATTTTCAACTAAAACGCATTCTAGTCGGTGAAAACATTTGTTGACTGACTATTGACGACCAGCTACCAACCAAATTTTCCTAGTTGAGGATTGGTAATACCGATTAATATTAGGCTTTTAGCGACTAAATTTTGGGTTGGCAAAACCCTTATTTCTTGTAGTGAGAGTAACATTCGCAATCAATGAAAATATAACTAGATATGATGAGTCATGAGTGCTTGAACTTTTTTAATAAAAAACAGATATGGGAAAGTGAATACTCTCTTTCGGATTTTCTCAAACTTATTTTTGCATTTATGATTATTTTTAAAAAATCACGGAACACAAAAGAATATAAGTTGGGCAGACCCAGGGGGGGACTTGGGGGGTCAAATTTGAGATTTTCCCCCTTTTTTGGTTGATAATGTCACATTTGGTATCGATTGAAATTTAAATTTTAATCTAAATCAAAATTAACAACTAATTTTAATAATATATGTCACGGATTCCTTAACTTTTAAAATTTTATCAAAATTTACTAAAAATCGAATTTTAATCCCCATCAAACAGGAGCAAAATCACAATAAATTTGAATTTTCTCTCTTTTTTATTGCTCTATCGTATTTTCTCCCTCACACTTTTTACCAAAATCTTAACCCTTCTAACTTTTTAAAATTTGTTTATAATTTCTCTACAATTATCATATCTACTACAAATATTCATTTTTCAATCAAATTTTTAACTAATTCTAAATTTGTATTTTCTCCTATCCTATTTGTGTATATAGCATGTGTCTAAACTGATTATATAAAATTTAACTTATGTTATTTGACTATTTATTAGTATTGAATATTGGTTATATATTTTTTCTTTCGATTATTTAAATTTGTTGATTGTATCAAATACATAATTTTTTAAAACATAAATATGCATTTGCTTGTGATGAGCAAAATATTAATATAAAGATTGTTCAAAATCAAATAGATGAAAATGATGAGCAAAATATTAATGAAGAAATTTTTTTTAAATGTAAATCTGTATTTTTTCAAATCAAATATGAATCATTTAAAAATCAAGAATAAAGTATTCGATTTGTATAAAGTTTGATTGTGCCCTCTAACTCAAATTTTCTGCATCCGCCTATATAACAGTGATGTATGTTGTCATGTAGATTTAGATTAATTTTATTGAAAATTAGTTTTTAAATTTTAATACATGAAAAAAAATTGGAAAATATATTATTCTAAATATTGAAGTCACGCATCAATAGATTATATGTTTTCAGCTTATAAATAAATATTTAAATTACATATGTTTAGTTTAAGTGATAAGTAAATGTGCAGATGTTTGAGTTACACATGTTCGGTTTTGCCAAGTAGTAGTTTTTTATGTTACTGGTAACCAAAAATAAAAAATTGAACGATGTTTTTATATATATTCCAATATTTTATAAAAATGGTGCAAATGTAGTGCAATATATTCCTACTTTTCATTAATCCTTAAAATTAAAAGTGAACTAAGTAATAACCAAAAAGTTCAAACATAAGACAAAGATTCATTTATTAATATTTTGTTTTTCAATTTATCAATATCCAGAAAAATAAAGCATACATTTACAAATTATATGCACATACTCTGCACATAAAGTACAAATGTAACGTTTTCTAGAGATTGAAGATCTATCCGTCAACCAGCACGACACTTGATGATTTTAATTAACTATTGGAAGATTAATAAATTGTTGACTTTTATCGTTCTTGCTATTTAACTAATCATATCAATTATATCCTTCTTCCAAACTTTTGACTTTTTTTATGTTGCAAGTTCTTTTAAATAGTTTGATTAAACTTACATTTGAATTCAATGAAATGCTTTAGTTAAATGGAAAACACCCAAACATGGATGGAGAGAAATATTATTGGAGGCGAAAAAAAAAGAAACAAGTAGAAGTTCAAATTAAACCCTTCATTTTCAAACTATCCACCATTCAACACTAGAAAACTTCATCATTTCCAATTCCAAATCTCTGCATAATTTTTTGTTCGAGTTATCATAAAATTTTTCATTTATGTCTAAGTCTTGATGGTGCTGTTCTGACATGAATTCATTTCGTCGGGTTAGAAATTGAAGTGCTCAAATTTTACTGGTTATTTCGTTGTATCTTGAAGACAGACATTCAAACTAAACCTTAAGTGCCTACAGTGAAGGGTGAATATGTTTTAAGGAAACTGAGTACGTACAGGATCCGGGTTGTAGATTTACATTGTTCTCAGCGAAAAATATATCTCTGCAATTTTTGATGCAGACGTGGCCCTTGAAGATTGAAGCAGTTCAGCCCTTACAGATGATCAGATCGTGTGCTGCTGGGGGATCAGATCGCGTGACTGTTATTTATTTTACCAAGTTATTTTATTAGTTTTTCTTTCCATTATTTTACGAAGTTATTTTATTAGCTTTTCTTTCCATTATTTTCATTATTATGTTGGTCGAGTTTAAGGAAAGTTTCCATAAGTTAATTATTATGTTTGTCATTTTTGATAAGTTTCCTGTCTAGAATTTTCCTTAGTTTTTTCATCAATATGGACACATTCCGTATCAATATAAATCTCAGTTGAATTTTCTTGAGGAAATCCCAAATATGTCAGCATATTGCGCAACCAGATAGCATGACATATAGCTAAACTCGTAGCAACATACTCAACTTCACAACTAGATAAACTAACAATTGGTTGCTTTTTCAATGACCGCATGAATGCAGTTTCTCCAATAAAAAATACGAATCCAGTTGTACTTTTCTTTTCATCTATATCTCTTCTCCAATCACTATCTGAATAACCAATGAGCTTAAAATCATTAGTAGATGTATAAAGTAAGCCTTCATTTATTGTACCTTTAAAATAGCAGAGTATTCTTTTTCCTGCATTAAGATGGGATTGATTTGGTGTCCCCATGTATCCAGCTGAACCTCTCATATGTATCCAAGTGGTTGCTTGACATAGGGATGGTAAAAAGGCTTGAGGGCCGAGCCGCCCGTGGCTCGGCCAGCAAATAGCTCGAGTCGGCTCGACTCGAGGCTCTGTCAAACCGAGCCTAAGCTCGGGTCAAGCCCCATCTTGGGGTGCCGGGCTGAGCCTGAGCTGGCCCCTGTGGCTCAGTGACCGGCTCGCAAAAAAAAAGTTAAAAAGCAGCAAGCTGCTGCCTTTATTTAAAGGCAGCTTAATTGCCTTTTAAGAGGAGGAAAAAAAAGAAGAGGGAAAAAACGAGCTGGCTCGGGTGGAGCCTTGATTTTTTGGCCGAGCTTTTGCTTGGCTCGGCTCGTTGTCATCCCTAGCTTGACATATATGTCTTCTTCAAGATATCCATTTAGAAATGTTATCTTGACATCAAGCTGATAAATTTTTCATTTGTGTTGTACAGCCAGTGAAATCAACAATTGAATTGTCTCCACGCATGCAACAGGTGCAAATATTTCTCCATAGTCAATTCTTGCTTTTTGAGAATAACCTTATGCAACCAACATTGCTTTATACCTCTAAAATTCGCCTTGTATATTCATTTTAATTTTGTACAACCATTTTACTCCAATAGTCTTTCTTCCTTCTGGTAACTCAGTGAGCTTCCATGTGTTGTTCTTCTCAATAGAACTATTTTTGTTGAAAGTAGTGTAAACTTGACCAATGAAATTCTAGAAGTAAGGAGAAGTTCAAAATCATCAAGAAGTTTTGGAAGTATGAAGATGAAGATATGACTTAGTCAAAATTCTACTTGATTAAACAAAAGTATTTTATTGGATAGAAAAATATTACATGGTTAAGAAAAAATTCGTGATTGGTCGATAAAGAGTTGCTTAATCATTTTGAACTCTTCTTCTAATGGAGGTAGAAGTTACTTAATCGTTTTGAATTCTTCTTCTAATAGAGGTGGAAGTTACTTGTTCATTTTGAATTCTTTTTTTTATCAAAGGAGGTTAAAGAAGTTACTTGAGCATCTTGGACTCTACTTCTATCAAAGAATATGGGATAAGATTATTAGCCTCAATTGGCTTCTTCTACTAAAGGAGGTTAAGGAGTTACTTGATCATCTTGAACACTTCTTAGTTTTTTTCTATAAATAGGTGTATTGGTATGTAGTTTAAACTATCGGGTAGAAGAGAAATTGTAAGGTTTGTATAAGAGAGTTGTTGAGAGAAAATAACTCTATTGTATGAAATATATATTGTGAAATTTATGAAAATTTGTTTATTGAGTGAAAAGTGATTTTCTATCACAATTTCTATCCATCAGTGGTATCAGAGTCAAGAAAGAATAAAAGAGAGTGATATAATCTTTGTTTCTAGAAAAATAAAACATACACATTACAAATTATATGCACATAATCTGCACGTATAGAACAAATTTGATGTCTTCTAATGATTGAAGATATATTGTGATCTAGTGCGACTGGATGACTTTAATTTATCACTGAAATGTTAATTAACTATTGATTTATAAAATTCTTGCTATTTAAATATTAATTTTTTATTTTTTTTTAATATCCTTCTTCCAAACTTTTAACTTTTTATTTTGTTGGAAGTTCTTTTAAAATAGTTAGATTTATATTTACATATAAATTCAATCAAATGCTTTAGTTAAATGGAAAACCAGCAAACATTGAGAAAGAGAATTATTATTGAAGACAAAAAAAAAAAAAAAAAAAAGGATTGAAAAAAAAAAAAAAAAAAAAAAGGAGTGAAAATTAAACCCTTCATTAATTAAACTATCCATAAGAAACTTAATTAATTATATAATTCAAACAAAAATTAGTATTTACTGTTATCCACTTGAAGTCACTTCTTTGAAAGTACAGCAAAACTATAAATACAAGCAGCGCTCTTCATATTTCTCACAAATGCCATCTAATCTTATTACAGATTTCTCATTTCCTATATCCGCGATAAACACCAGCAGTAGTGGTGCCGAGGAGGGTTCTTTCTCCAACCACCAACGGGCGGAAGAGAGAGGCCCTCAACGAAGCAGCGGCGATGGGGAGAGGAACATTCGGCAAGGCGCTATCCGATCTGCTTCGTCATCCTCTCACCCACCCGCCATGCAACCACCACCTCTACCACAAATGGGTCGTTCAAGAATTATAAAGCCAAACAGGTCTGTGAAGAAATTTTTTTCTAATTTGAACTCCTACTGCGCGCAGTTACATATATCTTGATAGAGAATATATATATATACATAACACATACACAAACTAACAAAATTTAAAAGAGTCCAAATAGAACGTAATTTTAGGTTTAAACAGTTAATACATATGAATGTTGGTTAAATAAAATTTTGCAGCAACATTTTCGATGAGTAATCAGTTATTTCTAATTACAAATTTACATTAAACAAAAATAAAAACTAAAGCAAGATTTTATCTAGTAAATACTCTACAGTATTCCCTGATTTAAAACCAAGCCAGTGGAAAACCATAGGAAAAGGTTACAAGAAAATACCTATTATTTGCTGGTGCAAGTGTAAATGGTCCGGCAAATGGGTTCGTTACAAAATTGGACGACGAAGACCTATCATTCTCTCCCTCTATGTATGTTTGTTAAACTGAAATATTTGATTGATGTTTATATTCAAGCATAAATCAAAGTTGTATTTTATGTGCAGAATATGTGCTTTGTTAGTGCAATTAGTCAAAGTTTTAGTACTTGTATTTTATATTGGTAGAGGGTAGTAGTTTTATTTTACAAGTTTGGTTTGAGAGAATCTGGAAAAGAACATTTTAACAATCCTATGCCTGCTTTTCATTAATAAAATTCAGTTATTTCCGACTGATAATATTCTGGCTTTATTTTTTATCTATTCATTTATAGAATGAGAAGGCATAGATAAGGTAATTATTATTTAAAAAATATTATAAATAGAGAGTGAGTTGAGATATCCAAAATTTTGTCTGTGCCATTGAGTGTCTCCTACAATCATCTTTTGCACTTGGATGCATCACCTTTTTTTAGCAAATAAGAAGACACTAGCACATTTTCTTGCACTTCAGCATAGCATACATTGAATTCTTTTCATTTTTTAAGAAGAGATGATGCACCGGAGTGTAAAAAATATATAGGGGGAGGAAAAATAGATATGGGCTGGAAATATAGACACTTCTGTAAAAGTGTGTATTGCATAAAAAACAGTACAAATGCAAAATGTTCTTCGGTTCTCGAATTCGATTGAATTTTTTAAAGGATAAACTGACTTACCTTGTTAAACTATCATGGTGCATCCCTACTAGGTTGGCACTCACCATTAAGCCTCTACAATGTAACCAGGAATTGTAAGTGTTATGCCCTAAATTCAATTAATTTAGATTGTAAATACTTTTAATATGTTAAATGCATATATTTGGCAATATCTAGTATTTATTCTAATGAATGATATTTAAATAATGGAGTTTGTAGATTCAAGTTTCAGTAATTTGTTAATCACAATGAGTTGTAATTGTGATATACAAATTATATATGATTGAATCTTAAATCTTCGTTGGTTGTAAGTAATAACGAGATACGAATATTATTATTACGGATAAACCATCACACGTAACGTTTCTTACTTGTAAAGTAAGCAACTGATCTTATAAGTTAAAGTGTATTGACGCTTAAATAAAAATGTGGATGTTTTGTTATAGAATAAAACATTGGAGACCTGAGGGGAGATTCCACATGGATAACGATATGAGTGTCAATGGTTAATCTCTAACGTTTGGTAGTGGAATTGGTCTTTTGACTCGAGGTTATCATAGTGTCTTATATGAGGGCAGTCATACTTTGGTGATGTTGGATGTTGTTTTACCAAGGGTTGCCAATACAGAATCGTTCGAGCATGTCAAAAATCGTATGAATGTTGTGAATGACCAATAGAGGATTCGTCACTCTTAAATAGTAAGAGATTATAATCTATATTTCATTCAGTTAAGTTAATAACGAAACATTGGTCAAGGTGTACTCATAAGTCAAAAAGGAGTTTTCGACTTGTATTGATTTAATAGTGGAATAAAAAATATGATCGATAATTGAGATTGGCACGTATCCATATCTTGTAATTGATCGAATCAGATTGATGAAGGGATTATACCCTCACAGTAAATGAATAAATTTGGTTTTGTCTACATTTCCCGTCATATATATTGCCCTAAATATTGCTAAATGTCAATCTGAGACAACGAATGTAAATTGGTGATAAATTAAACATGGGGTGATAAATTAAATAGTGGTGTTTTAATTTATCGATTTTGATTAAATCAAAATAATAATTCACGTCGTTAATTAATTGGATTGCTCATTAATAGGCCCGAATTAATTGGATTAATTAATTCATGGACTGAATTTAATTAAATGTGTTAATTAAATATTGGATCGAATTAGTAGACGGGCTAAGTCCATTTTTAGCTTATATAAATAAACAGCTAGGGTTAGAAAATGGTAGAAGTTTTTTTATTCTTCTTGCTAGCACAAAAAAGGTAAACCCTGATTCTTTCTTAATCTTGTTTTCTATGTGAAAATCCATTGGAATCTGGACGATTGGATAGTTGTGGGTGGCAGATCAAGATTGTTGGAACAAAAGCAACGCAAAGGAGTTTTGCATATTTCAACAAAAGTATAATTGTTATTCCAATTTTCATCTAAATACAAAGCAGATCCTTGGTGATAATTGAAATTTATTTTCCGTGGTGTATGATTAAGTAAATTCCCCACAAGAATATCATTGTAACGAAAGAAAATCGTCCAATAATAGAACGTCCCAAAAGCATTCAACTAGCTAAAGCGGTGATTACATCGGTCTCATAAATCTAAAGCAACAGAATTTGAGCAAAATTCAGGTTCCGAGTTCCACCAGGTTAGGAAGTTTGCCACAATATTTCCTTCTCTGTAGAATTCGATTTAATTGCCTCTCATAATAAGTTTATATTATATCTGAGAATTGGGTGAATTATGTAAATATACATAGGCCCGTAAAGTGGAAATGCACTGTCTTGAGAACATTGTACATTCGAATATTGGTAATGGATAATATATATATACACAAAAATGATTTTCTAAGTATGGATGTGCCATATCATCGGTGTTGGGAATCTACTTATACATACACAGCGGAATTTAAAATAATTTTCGATTCTCACCAAGAATCGCCTTTGTGTTTAGATAGAGATTGTGATAAGATTGTACATTTTCCAGATCTGCAATCTTTTTGGTTTTCTTTTCGTTCCATCAACCTTGATTCGCCACCACAGCTGTCCAATTGTCCAGCCTCCAACGGTGATCCAACAGAGAATATGATTGCAGCCTCTAGGGTTTTCTCTTGTGCCAGCAAGAATAATGAAAAACTTATGGACCTCAAACCCTAATTATGTATTTATATAAACCCAAATAGGCTCGGCCCGGTCCGGTCCAATAATTAATTAATCCA